TACATATATAATGTATAATAATTGAAATGTGACTGCATTTTACAAAATACTAGTCGACTAAAACACGGCAAAGACAAAGGTCAGTTTTATGTTACTTGATACGGTAACACGAGTGCACGTGAGCTACGTCATTGTAACTTCTGTATTGTTAACCAGGCATGGCTGAAAGGTCAATACAATAAAAATAATAAATGTATTAATGTGATGATATTTAATCTATTTAGTATAAATATTTGTTTTTGTTTTATAATTTGTAGTCATTCTAGAATGAAAGAGGCATAATTTATATTTATTTCCTAATTTTTTATGGTGGTTGCGAGATTGATCAAATCTACCAAACCTGTACAGAGATTAATTACTGAAAATAACAAATAAAATATAAAGTTTTTTCTTAAGAAACGTTTGATAACTATCTTGACATTATACAGATTTCGCATGTGAAATTTAAAAATTTTCTGATGCATAAAAGTATTTTTAATCTTAAATTTAATATTACTTTGCATGATAGATAGGCAAGATGTGAAAAGAAAAATAGACATGAGAAAAACATTGCTTTATAAACCTTAGGACTTAATAAATATTTTGCCTAATGAAAGCATTGTAATGTTTACTGATAATCTGCCAAATTTTGTTATCCTTTGCTTACTAATTTAAAAGTTATAGCATAAAAACTATAACAAGCACTGAGCCTGTGCTGAAAGAGTTAATTAAAAAAAAAGTAGGTTTATGAATTTTTCATATTAAATGCACTTATTCACTTGTATAATGATGTTAAATATTTAAAGACGTAAGGCAACAGAAATTCTTATCTAATACCAAACTTTATGAAATATTTAAGTACAGTTTTTAATCTCAACAATAAAGTTTTGTAATTTCCTGGTTAACATCATGTTGATAGAATCCATGTTATTACCATTTCTTGTGTACATTTGTTTTTGCTTCAGTCATCATACATCCATGTGGTTTCTTGCATTAAACTCATTAATGACCTTTACTCCTGATGTGCATAAACTTTGGCAGATCATGTTTCTGGCATCTCAGAAATGAAAAGAAAATTTGAAAAGTAGAACTCGGTTATGATTATTCAATTAAATGAAACTCGGTTCAGTATTAGAAAAAATATCTTAAGAACTGGAATGAAATGTTCATACTGACTTAAATGATGACTAATGGGATGGCTTATTTTTATTTTGTTCAGAAAATGATCCATTAAAATGAGGAAAATTTTAAGGCTATAAAATGGAAAGTGGTCTTCTCTAAAAGTTAACAGTTGTCAAAATCATCAATTATAGATATTTCTTAGTTGTGTAGTTTTGTTACTCTTTGGTATCTACTGCCATGTGGAATGAGTCCAGTTACTGCATTAATTTAACATTTTTCCAAACACTTGACAATCAAGTTGAAAATATTTCAGCTTTATTATCCAACTGCCATGTTAGCTCCTGGAGAAGGTATAACAAATCCTAAAAACTTTGTTTAGGAAATTATAATTTTTTTTAATTTTCTTTCACAAAATAATGTATTTTTAATGATAATTGAGAATAATCAAGTCCTCAGTGTTAAGGGTTTAATACAGACACCTGGTTATACATATAAGCTAATACTATGCTATCTTCATGAACATCAAGGTGAATAATGAGGTAAAATACCATTATCATGAACTTTACATAAAAAATATGGTATAAAATAGCTTAACTGTGATTATGTGGTTTAAAACATTAAAAACAGTGTTTCAGCAGGTTGTCAGAATGTTATTTAGTACATAAAACTATTTAGTTACATCTTTTACAATTTTATTAATTGTTTTATTTAACTTTTTTTTTTATAAATTCCTCAAACACAAATTTTACATATGTTTTTGGATTGCAGAACTGACATTTAGTATAACAAACATCTTAGAGATATGTAAACTTTTATTGTGTTTCCTAGAAATTATAATCAACATTAAAGTTTAGTCTTCATTATTCATAGGAGATTTCATTACTTGATGTCAGAAAAGAAATAAATTTCTGCCAGAAAGTTGGCATTCCAATAATAGGAGTCATTGAAAATATGAGTGGATTTGTATGCCCAAAATGTAAGGTAAGGTTGGATTTATTGCATTCAAGTAAAAACTGACTTGTTTTGATCAACTGGTATATAACAATATGTAAAAACACAATATCATGATATAAAAGACTGTTTAGTGTAGGTATTGTTAATTTATTTATTTTGTGAGTGAATATTTCATGATTTTTTTAGTTTTTTTCATAACAAGAGAATTGAGAGCAATTATTTTAAAGTAAACATTAAGACAAGTTTAGTTACATAACTTGGTAAGAATTGTACGTTGTGTTGATAATTCATTGATGTTGAGGCTATCAAACATCTCATGAAATTTATTGATGTTGAGGATACGGAGATTTCTAGAAGACGAGCAGATGATTAAGTGGTAAATATATAAATAGTGTGAGATGAGTGGGAACAGCAGACAGACAGAGCACACAAGAAAGTGAAAGTTCGGCCAAAGAAAAATTAAATGTAAAGTTAATTGCCATAGGAGTGAAAGGCCTAATGATTAATATGTTAGAGTAAAACTAATACTTTTAAAAGAGATGAGAAGTATAGTTTATTCTGTCAAAGCAAGTTCTAAAGTAATTGATCCAGCCTGAATGCACTTTAACAAAAGGAACAGACAATATCTGAAGTACGAGGACCACACAATTATTGGAAGAGCAATATACGACTGTGGTAACTCACACTATAATTGTAAGTGAATTATACATGGAATACTAGTGCACTAGAAATAGAGAAAAGTAGTTCGGCTTGTTAACTGAAATTCTAAAGCAATTGAATAGGCATAAATGGACTTTTGACAAGAAGAGAACTATATATAGTGTTTATGATATGCTTATAATATCTATAATATAAAGAATTTGTTGTACATACGTTTAACTAGTTCCAAATATATGTGTGTGTGTGTGTGTGTATATATATATTTATATATATATATTATTTTGAAAACAAGTGAAGTGTGTGCTGTTTGTTTATTTTTGAATTTATCACCAAGTCACAGCTTGTCAAGTAAAGTTATATCAAATTGTCTTCTGAAAATTCAAGTCTTATGAAACATTATAATATTGTATCATAAGCCTTAACCTGAATTATCCGACCATGATAAGACTGAAAAAAGTACACACCTAAATGGTTAAGAAATGTTTCTGTTCCCCTTTGTTTGTTTGTTGTTGTTTTTTAAGAATTTAAAATATGATTTTCTTTCAATTTTTCATTGTTTTTACCACCAGACAGAGTCCCAAATCTTCCCTCCTACAACGGGAGGAGCAGATAAAATGGCAGCTGACTTGAATGTTCCATTTCTTGGTAAAATTCCATTGGATCCTCAAATAGGTGAATTCTTCGATATGTTTTTTACTAATTTTAAAAACCTTTAGCAGAAACATTCTTGAGATTTAACAAAAGATATATTGAAAACTCATTACATAATAACATAGCTTTGACCTATTTTTAATGCAGATGTATGACACAAATGTACATTAGAATGATAATAAGACCTTTAAGAGTTGCTATTTCATTGTAAAAGTGCTTTAGTTTGTGGACAAAATGAGAAATAAACTACTTATGATGCACACTAGAGTAGATTGTAGACCATTGCCCAATATAATTTATGCTTTGGAAGTTGAAGATTATACAATATTCATTTACTATGTATCCTTGAAACATTGTATACTCAGTTTCACCTTACTAATTATATTCATCTAAACCAAACATCATGTAGGTGATAATTTTGCATACACAAAACTACTGATTGAAATGAATGGGGAGCTATTAAGTATGTTTTTTTTAATTACATATGGAATAAAAATGATCAATTAACGATATGATCAAATTGTAAAATAGGTACAAATTTTGTAAAAATGGTCTAAATTTCTACCTTAAATTTTCGCATAACATTGCTTCATGAAGCAAGTTGACACTGATGTTAAAATATTAGTACAAACTCCATTTTAATAATTTTGTACTTATAGGTAAATGTTGTGATGAAGGAAAGTCATTTCTTAGGGAAGTTCCGGACTCTCCTGCAGCCAAAGCATACCATATGGTATATAAAAGTAAGTTATTTAATTAAAAACTGTGAGATCAGAAACACTTTCTGGAATTACAGGGGTAAATATTATTTTTTAAAATTGCATATTTTTCCCATACCCTTCAGTCAAGGCTTCTAAAATTCTTCAATAATTTCACCATATGTTATATTAACAACAACATCGTAGTTACATGGCTTCAGCATCATAACTCAAAGTCATCAACAGTTTCTTTTTCTTATTTTTTATATTGCACCTTTTCATTTTCTTACCTTTTTTTTTCTCACTTTCCTTCCCAAAATTATTCCTGTACCTTTTGGACACTTTTTGGAAAAATATTTACCTCTTGTAGAATTTAATCTGTAGATTTAATCCAAAAGGGAGCATTTCACTGAAGAACACATGAAAAAATATATTGTAATTTTTTATTTTTACTGTTGTTATTATCTATTACCTTATCTGGAATAAAGAGCACCTCCTGTGATAGACAAAAATTTGTTTTTATGAATCTATAAATGCACCTGTTTACAGTGTGACACCTCAAAGGTACAGAGATATGAAAGTTGGAACACTATTAATTTTTCTTTGTGAATTACACTAAATATTAAAATGTTAAAAGATGGCAAAATATCAAGTTTAAAATACATTAGAATTGTTATTCTAAACTTGATATACAGGTATGCACTCAACACCTAAAATATAGGTTTATATTTACTAAAAATATTATCATCCAATGAGAATATTAATGCTGATATTCTCTCAGGATTTTAATTCTTAGTGGTTTTATTACTACAACTCTTTGTTGCCACCCTGTTTATGATGTCATTGCAGGTGGTCTGAACAATTATTATTGAAGCTCAGTTTTGAACATAACTATAGCCAATATTTAAATACAATTAGATAGAGCAAATTATAAGCTATATATATCCATGTAGATTGTTTTTTAATAGTAATTAATAGTTTCTTGAAATATTGACTAGTCAGAATATTTTCCTTCTTAAAATATCCATTTGGAAGCCTACTAAAATTTTAACCTGTAACAAAGTATCAGCTAAACCTAGTTAGGTATAGCAAGTACTACAGATGACTGCAAAATATGCCAGTGTCTCTAATCATCATTTATTGAATGTTATTGTTACTTTTATTGCATGTATATAATAGTTGGTGGAAGTTATATGTGAACAAAATGTGTATATGTATGTAGATGTTTCTATAAATTCCATATGAGAAGAATTCCTGTATATGTATACAAGATTTTTGGTAAGACTCTGTGTGAACAAAATAACATCTATATATATATATATATATATGTGTGTGTGTGTGTAAATGTTTCTTTAAATTCTATAAGAGCCAAATTCTTCTACATGTAAACAGAAGTTCTGATATGATACCTTGCCTCCTCTCACATAAAAGCTTTCCTTAATTATTACTACCATCTATATGCTCATATTTTTCACTCACCACCTACCCCCACCTGTTTAACGTGGTTCAGCTGCACTGTAGCATGTAAATAATGATGCAACAACCCTTCACCAATAGTGGCTGTGACCACAGATGCTATTTTATTGGCAGTGGGGGTTTCAGCACTCATTAGCCTTGAAATTGAGTTGCTCCTGCAGACTGAGGGTTCTCCTGTCTCTCAACCAGTTCTCCCTTACCTAGGGATACTGGATGGGAGAATAAAGACAGCCTTTATCTTCCCCCTTCATTTGCCATGCACTCTAATGCAGATGAGATTGATGCACCTAGACTTTCGTCAAAGTTTCTGGACTTGGTTACGCAGGTTTATTACATTTTGTCCTTATCCCCTGTGTCGTATGTACTGCCTCCTTTTTTGGTACATGACACACTTTCTCCTGAATATTTTGTGTTTCTTTCCTTCCCTAATATTCAGGTTCATGCTGAGTGTTTTGCAAGGCAATTACATTAGTATGCGTCACCTCCCATCGCACTTCAGACACTCATTCTTTGGCCTGTTATCGAGATTCAAATCCTTGTTTGGATTCTCAACAATTGGATTCTTTATTCACAGTTTGGGGTTTGGACCTGGATACTTCAATTCATTTTTTCACATACTCAATATTTCTGTTTTAGTTTATCTTTAACCTACTCCTACATTACCTCTCTACCATTCACCTTTTGTCCAAAGTTATCTATCATTCCCCTGAGGGGGTTTTCAGAGGATGGGCATTCTCTGTTGTTGTTTACATTAACCCATTTGTCTTCCTCAGCTCTGTCCCTTCACACTTGGCTCCTGTGTTGTTGGGATTTGTTAGGTAGAGATTCCCTTCTGACATAGGTGCATTTGCCCTCCTCATCTTTAAGAGTCTTATGCATGGCTTTGTTTTTGTGTCATTCCGTTTTAATGGGTGTCCTTGGAGTCTCATGTGGAGCCATCCCATCTCCATTCTTTCTTCTCCTCCCTTGGTACTCGTCTGTTACAATCTTCCCCTGTTCCTATTCCTGTTTTCCATCCCCTTGCCAGTTCCTTCTGCCAGAGCGTTTGAGTCATCTGGTCATGTTTTTCACTGCTAATCCATCAGCCATACACTGTTTCAGTGACTATGTGGTAGATACAGGACTTGCGGGGCCTGGGCTGTACAATTGTGTCCACATTTGGAAGATTTTCACCATCTTATCAGGTGCTATAGAATCCATGACTCATCTCAGCCACAGATTCTGATTGTTGTCCCCAAAAAGACAGAAAACTGGTGACCTATTATCAATCTTTTCTGTCCAAACCCATGTTTAGACCTTCCTCATTTCACCATGAAGTCATTTCTGTCACTTCGATGGGTGTTCACTCCAGGTTTGCAGATGACAAAGTTTGACTTGTCTGATGCTTACCTGCATCTCGTCGGTTTCTTCAATTTTTCCATGGTAATTGGGTCTATCAATTCCAAGCTCTTCCATTTGGTCTTTCCATTACCCCCTGCATTTTTTGTTGGGTGGTCAAAGCTTTTGTCAAATGGATTTACTCCCAGGGGCTTCAGGTACATCATTACATGGACAACTGGCTTATTCTAGAATTGTTTACCTGGCTACGTTCTGCATCCTGATTTGCCCTGGGACACTTTCTGCTATTTATTGTATATGCCTCTTTGCTGCCCATTTAACAACACTGTTTTTCATCAAGAGTGAAGAATATATCTGGTTCAGATGTGGTGTGGTCTACCATGAGTGTGTTTCCTCTCCACACAGATATCACACTCCATGGGCTCTCTTTAGACATACTCTGAAGTGGGTTAATCTACCAGATCAGTGTGGGATTCTAGCTTTTGTATGAGCGGAGGTAAGGTATCCTATCGGCATTAATAATCTTCCTACACAAAAAATATATTTCTGATAGATACTTAGCCCCATTCACACACTTCCCACCCTTCCTCCCCACTCCCATAGTTTTTGTTCTTGATGCTTAATCTCAAAGTGAGGTTAGACACAATAATTCCAAAAGAGCTAGCTGCATGTGGATTGGCAAAGGGTTGTTGCATGGTTATTTACATGCTACAGTGCATCTGAACCACATTAATCATGTAGGGGTAGATGGGAGTATCAAGGCTAGTGTGAAGTGAAAAATTTGATCATATAGAAGGCAATAATAATCAAGTAAAGTTTCTCTATGAATGAAGGTATCTATAGAAAATACATTTTCTGTGTAGGAAAATTGTAACTTTGTAGGAGTTTTGTGTGAACCAAGTATAAATGTGTGTAGTTTGGACAAATACATGCACCTACAACTATTGCATAGGTAAAGTTGACATTTTATTATGTGTAAAATAACTTGAACAAATTGATTACCTTCTATATTATTCATAACACTGAATTCTGATTTGATGACACAAAGCTCATCTTTTATAAGCAGTGTTATGAATCACACTCTGTACTGAAGTACTACATGTTTAAATTAAGAAAAATGTTTAATTTGAATTTATTAAAGTGGAAATCTTGTTAAATATTAAGGCTCATTATGCAATTCCTCTTCTTCTTGTGTTTTTCAAAGATCCAACTCAAAAGTATACATAAAAATAAGCTATTAGACCCTGCTAGCAGTAATTTTCACAAGTATGTAAGAAATGTATTTTAGATGTTGAGCAATTTGATCAAATAGAATGTCGTTTTTTTGCAATAACTAAACATCTAGATTTTCATGGTGTTGTTATATGAATGATAATTCATGCACTTATTGTCTTTCCAGAGATAGTGGACTCTACCAAAGGTGAAATAATGGACACCAGTTAAATGTCACTAGAAAGCACCTGATCTGTTGTGTATCATATTCGGAAATCCTTATCATGATTGTTTAGATTTACAAATTGTTTTGTACTTCAATTTATAATTATAAATAAACATATAGTTCATTCTAAATTGTTCAGTGAATGGCCCCATTAATCAATTGCTACAGTTTTCTCAAACCATGATATATGATACATACAAGCCAAAAAAACGTTGGAAGTGGGTGCAACCAGCCAGTTACCTTCCTTCTATTCAGCAGATCAAGAAATAAAAATTGGCAACAGGTGCTGCCAGTCAGTTGCCTTCCCATTAGTCAGTAGTTCAAAATTAGTGACAGTGGCAGGTAGCTTTAGTAGCTTTGCCATAAAAAGGACAGGATAGGCAAGTTTAGTAGCAACAAGAATTGTACCCAAGACCCTTGGATCACTAACCCTCCTCAAATCATCAACATTGAACAAACTTGAAGAAATAGAACAACGTCAAGCTATAAAGCTAAAATTAGAAAGAGCTCAAGTACCCCAATTTGTAGCTTTGTGCCTAACAACATGGAAACATAATAGCATAACCTTGATTAATTGATTGTTGCAATAATCAGAAATGCTGATTTCAATCAGTTGATTATTTTTGTGAAAATCAAGTTAAGCATAATTTCGGTGAATCCGTTGTTGGAATAATTAAAAACAGTAACAAATGGAAACACTAATTTCAATTAATTAATTTAATCATTTTGATTAACTCGTTATCATGTATAAGTGCATGGCTAGGTGGTTAGGGAGCTCAACTCGCAATCTGAGGGTCGCGGGTTCAAATCCCCATCACACCAAACATGTTCGTTTTTTCAGCCGTGGGGGCATTATAATGTGACAGTCAATCCCACTATCCGTTGGTAAAAGAGTAGCCCAAGAGTTAGTGGTGGGTGGTGATGACTAGCTACCTTCCCTCTAGTCTTACACTGCTAGATTAGGAGACAGCTATGGCAGATAGCCCTCGTGTAGCTTTACGCTAAATTAAAAAACAAACAATACATGACACTAATCAATGTAATCACTGCTCATGGCTAATCAATTGATTAAGTCGCCCAACTCTTCATAAACATCCTGTACATATTTCATAAATGCACTATACCATCTAAAGTTTAACTTTTGAAAGCTACTTATAATAGGATCTACAACTGTTTCAGACTTAAAACAAAACTTGCAGAGCAACTTCACATTGTATCAATACATTTTTTATGACAACTGACCCCATTCTGTATAGTTACAATAAGCACTACAGTGTATTCGATGCTGACTAATGAGTGTATAAGTGTAAGAATATCTGTTTGGTTTTAATTATTTTCTTCGAAAGCTGTAAAAAAAACATGTTTTTTGTCTTCTAAAAATTTTGTGAGGTAGGAATCGCCCTTTACTTTGTTAAAACAAGAACACTAAAACTATCATTACTTCTAACTGAAAATGAAACATTTTACATCTAAAAAAAAATTGTTTATAATTGTTGATTACAACAACTCTAGACAGAAGGTTTGCTTTGTTTCTCAAAGTTAGGGAAATGGCTTCTCAGATAAAAAGAAACATTTTTGTAGATTTAGAGGTAGTGCTATAATAGTATTTAAGTTCTTTGATACCGTAGGTATATTTTATATGAAAAAAAATTTTTGAGCCTACTTCCAATTCACAACAAAGCATAAAGTAAGTGTGAAAGATGCAGAAAGTACAGAAATCATAATAACTCAAGCAATTATTCGTGTGTAGGATGTTACAGCAAGAGTAACAAATTGGAGGATTCTTAGTTTTAGCAATAGCTTGAATAGAAAACCAACTTGTACATCTATATAAGACCAACTTTCTTCCATCATATACTAACCATAATTTGGGAGACCAGAAATACAAATTGATGGTTATTTAGAAAAATCGATGAATTATAAAAGTTTTTCTGGAGGGATGTCAAGAAGTTATTTAGATCAAGGTAGATTTTTGTATTTATTTATTTTTGTAATTATTAGTAAACTTTTTATAATGAGAAGTTGAAAGCCTGTTGTTCCAGTTGTAATTGTCCCATAGTAAGTCAGGGGTAAGGTTACAGACTTACAACACCAAAATTCAGTATTTTATTTCCTGTGGTGGATAGAATGCAGACAGCCCATTGTGTATCTTTTAGTTTTATAAAACATTTCTCTAACTGTATCATGTAAATGACCATACAAAACCTGTCACATGGTTTGTGACGTACATATGTGTATTTGATTGTTATCTTGTTGTTTAGTACTGGGATAACCTCTCATTGCCTACAGCTTGTGTGAGATGGGCTTAATTCCAAGCAATAGCTGGATTTTTGTAGAGAAAAAAAAAAGAACTAGAATAGAAATAAAAAAACTGTCAAAAGAATTCAGCTGGAAATTAGATATATAACAAAATGTAAATTTCAGCTTAGGCTATGCATTGGGGGAAAAGGAGAAGGAACACCACTTATCCAGAAACCCCAGAAGTTATCTAAGCATGTTAATAATGTTTATTTTTCTTACATTTCTGTAAATATTTAATCTGTTATGACAGATACAGTGGAAAAATCTTCTCAAGCTTTATCTTCTAATCTGTACTTCAGTTGTCTGCACAATCTTTGATCAGCTGTTTCGGATATACTGACAACTGTGTACTTGTTTGACGGCATAATGTATTCGAAGTAGCACCAGCTACTCTACGACGCCCAGTTACTTTTTCATGCACTGTACCAATGAACATGCCAGTATCTCTAAAACAACTCTACCATAGTTACATATAATTAGAATGTGTCTTTCTCTTGGACATATAACTGTTTGAGCAAGTAAAAAATACTCTTGTGCATATAGTGATTGCACTGACACTGATGTAAGTTGAGTACTGTAAGCTATTAACCATTCACAGTAAATAATATGTGTTTACTGAAGAGAGTGTTGATTTCCATGGCAGTGACTAATACACTGTGAGATAAAGTTTCAGTAGTGCCCATATAAACTGAAAACACTAACTCACATCCATGTAACTTCACAGATACTACAAATCTACATTTGGCCCTGTGAACATCATACTAACTATCACACTTGAAGTTATAACAAGTGTTTTCTCCCAGATCAGTTGCTAGGTCTGATAATTGGCTCACTAATTTAAATAAGTAGACCTAAAAGTACTTACAGCCTGTCATTTCCATTCAGCCTTTTATTGATTATTTTGTCTATTAGGAGGGGATTTGGGATTCTGTATAAGCACATGGAAATGATCAGATTTTTTACAGCTATAACAGAGATTGTTCTACATTTCCCTGGGTCAAAACCTCTTTTCATCTATGTCATTAGCACAGCAAGCATGGAAGATTCATTATGCTGCTGTCATTCACTTAATCAGAATCAAACTACTATATGTTATCTGTGGATTTGACACTTCCCATAACAAGGTGTCGGAGAATGCTGCATTTCTGGTGAAGCCACTGCAGCAATCATTGCCAGTTTCTTTATCTCAGATAATTTGGTCAAAGTTACTATTTCATACATCATTGCTACGAATCCAGTTTCATCAAGATCATAATGTCTTTAATGCTCAAATGATGATACACAGACTTCTTTTTTACTAAGATATCTTCTTTATTAGCTGCCACCATGCTGGGGTTCACTTTACATTTGTAAGCATTTCTGCTCATCAGTATATTCAGCTAATTTTTGGTGGCTTCCCACCTGTGTCCTTAAGCTAGGCTGATCTGCTCAAGATAAACTGAAATTATCAGTAGCACATGAATAGCCAGAATATGGTTCAATCATTTCCGCAGATAAATAAAACATTAAGCTCTGGAATGACTGCTGAAGTATATGAGAGCACTCAGTATTCAACAGAGAACTTCTCCAAGTCAATCAGGGTCACCTTCAGATCAGCTTGATCTCCTCCTCCTCTGCTAAAGATTTTGTCAGAATGCAGAGGCATCTTATGGATATTGTCTCACTAAAAGCACAAGATATAATCATCACTTGAAAGAATACAAACTATAAATTGACTATACCTTCCTCAATACTAGTTCCTGGTTGATGGCACCAAACTTTGTTGAGTCCAGTTAAGCTGTGGTAATTCAGGGATAAACCAAGCACACAGTAACCTGATTTCTAGGATAATTAGAAATTCGACGATTTAGTATGTGGAAGAACAAGTGTAACAATTTGTAATTGTGGAGAGAAAGAAACACGATAGTACACCTGAAGTTTGAAATAAAAGTAAATAATTTAAAGAAGTGAAGATAAAAGCTGTTTATGCAATGGAAAAAAGTTATTGTGGGATAAGTAGAAGTTAGAAAAATAAACATTATTTTAATAAACAAAAACGTGATTTCACTGAAGAATAATCAGATTAATCTGAAGAAGCACTCACAATCAGTAGCAAGATTGTTAGAACAAAATAAAACAGAGAAGCAAATCTTGGTCCTTTCAGATACAAGTTTGCTCTTCTGAAAAAACGAAAATTTAATCTGTGTGAGACTGCTGAACACTGTATTCACAATTTATGTTCTCTTGCTCTATAGTTGATCAGTCAGAAAGGTGGATCATGAGAATCCAAAGTTATCCTTGCTACAGTGCTATTAATAAAGTAATACTCTATACACAGAGTAAGATATGACACAGTACAATAATATCATGTTAAACAGCAGATAAGTTCCTTGACAGGATCTGCTACAGAAAATAACATCTTGGGATGAATTTATCACATTATATTAACTTAATTTAACTAGTTCCAGACAAGAATTTAGATAAATTTCCTTTTTTTTTTTCTTCTTTTTTCTTAGAAATTTTAAATATACATACTATACAAGAGTAAGGAATGTAGTATTTCTATACTACATCTAAATGTATTTAAATACATTTTGGCCAGCATATGACAGCATGATTATATTAATCACTGAACTTTTTTGGTGTCATATGCACACATAATTTGTCCTATATTTCATTTCTTTTTTTTTTTATCTTATCTGAAACATTTAGTTTAAACATTTTCTAATTTTTTTACTTTACAGGTGTGATATCTAAATGCAAACTAACCCCTCTTATAACGTACTATATGAATATATCTTTATTCACATAATTTATTTAAACTTTTATTACAAGTTTCTACACTTTGTTATAAGTTCTAGATAAATAGAATGTGATCAACCTTGAGCTTACCATTGTTTTCCTTAGAAACTGTCTTACAGAGTGAGTATATAGCTAAGTTCAGGGCTTGTCTGTACACCTTATCTGACCTGCTTGTGGATAATTTGTTGAGCTGTTCTCAGCATTTTTTTAGCACATTTATTAAATTCAAATATGAAACTAGGAACACTAGTTCCTATTGTTTGTTAACTGGTCTCATTTGATGATGTGGCTTAGGATTAAATGAGGTTACTTCTTTCTCAGATATCTAAACTGCAAGTAAGGTAGAGCTTGTCTAGAGATAATACACTGTATTTGCATAAAGTTATGTCCAAGCTGTTAAACAGTATGTTCTTTTAGTCCAAGCTGTTTGTTCTATTACTGTGAAACAGCTTTGTTTCTATTTCATTTATTATAAATTGTAAGTTATTTACACTTGTACTTTTCTGCTATTGTGGTTTGCGTTTTTCTGCTTGGATCCAGTTTTACTAATATCATGGTCTCCAAACTACGGCCCGCCAACAGTTTATTAACGTAATAATATAATTTTTTAATGTTATAAAAACAAAAAAATAAGATGTAATTGAGCAAAAGTCAATCTGATCACGTATTCATCCCTACTTAATTTTATCTCGACCCCTCTGGCCCGCAAAGCCTAAAAAGATCTACCTCCTGGCCCCTGGCCAAAAAGGTTTGGAGACCCCTGGTCTAAGTAATGAAGAAATATTCTGGTGCTGTAACCAGATATTGATTTTGTTTTTCTTCTTTTTTCTTGCTTTGTTTTAACTATTTGTGTCATTTATATACCTTTGAGTATGT